AAAAAAAAAAAAAAAAAAAAAAAAAAAAAAAAAAAAAAAAAAAAGGAGAAGAAGAAGGGTCTCACTCTGTAGCCCTGGCTGTCTAGTAGTTAGAGTGCACTACATGAACTTGTGATCCTCCCCGCCTCATCCTTCAAGGTGCTGGAATCACAGTATTTACCACTCTGCCTGGCTTTCTTGTTCCTCTTTCAAGTAAACAGTGATTCTCTGGGTTACGGTGTAGCTCCAGAGTAGAGCACTTGTCTAGCCAGTGTAGAGCCCTAGGTTTGCTCTCCTCGACTCCTCCACCGACCGAATTGGAAAAAAAGCGGGGAGGGTGTAATTCTTTCTGGGCATTGTCACCTGAGTTAGCACAGAGTGTGTCCTTTAAGTCTAGCCCTGACAGCTCCCCCAGCCCTCCTTTACCCAGACAGAACCACTCTCTTCACCCAGAGGGTGAATGAAGGCTCACTTACTCCACTGTCTCTATCCATGTGTGGCTCATGGGTCCACCAGTCTGTCCCATATCCATTTGATCAGTGATCATTCCTGCTCCTGAACAGCCCTGCCCAACCCTCCCTCCTCTCCTAACTCTGGTCTCCTTGGGACTCCTCAGTGGAATTCCTGTTTCCAATCTTGCCTCTTCCCGTTTATTTCCTAAAGGCTCCGAGTCGCTATTTCCAAACTGCAGGCCTGGGTCACTGAAGATCAGTCCCCGTTTTCTCTTTGTGACTTGCAGTATGCTTCTGCAATCTTAGACCCCACTCTATTTCTCTTTCAGGCATGTCCAACCTGCAGCACTCACGGGGAGCCCATGTATCCCAAAGGAGCTATGACATATGGCCCAGTATCTCTGCAAGAGGACATCACCAAGTGCCAGTTCCAGAGACTGGCTGCCCCACGTTTACAGAGGACTTTCTACCTCAGCCTCACTGAAAGTCTCATACCTTCCAGCCTCATCAGACGCTTGGAAAAGCCTGGCCTTGCATGGTTCCTGACCCACCATACAATTAGGCCTCAAGGCCTAGTAAGGCCTCAATGCTACTACAAGGGGGAATGAGTCCCTGACTCGACTGTAAAACTGTCTTCCCATGATCTTGGGCTACTTTCCTGACATCCAGCACTGTGATTACACATTTATAGACTGTCTGCTCTTCCTCTGTAGTGGATCTTTAAGCAAAGTGTGTGAGTGTGACTGACTGTGGTCTGGTCCCTGGTCCCTGGTAAATAGCAGGTTCCTGATACATGTGTGTTGAGTTAATGAATTGATGACTGGGAAAGGGGCCCAAATAAATGATCTCTACTAAGGGGAAGAGAGCTGGTCTGGAAAGGGGAGGGAAGAAAGAGCAGGCATACTGGGTGCAGACAAGCTGAGGGCAAGTCTGGTTGTGGCCAAAGGGCATGGTATACCTGGGAATGTGAATGGTTCCAAGGTCACTCACCTCAGCACCACAACCCCTCAAAGGGTGTCTAATGCTACTTGGCAACCCACTTGCTCCTACCAAGTGCTGGACTTTGTAGCTTTCCTCGACCTCATGCTCCTATGTCCCTAATTCTCCAGAGGACCTAGCCATTCTTAGGTCAGGGCTCCCCCATGTCCCCCTACAAAACCTACAAGCCCCTCTTCTCAGGTGTTCCTTTGGCAGGCACCTTTATGATGTAAGTGTACCCTCTCTTCCTTCTAGAAACATCCCTTCCACCTTCTTGGGCTCTGGCCTGTGGGTAGGTTCATCCATGCCCCAACAAGCATGCTTCTTGAGAAGGCTGTGTTAAGCACCTAAGCCTGTCCTAGCTGGCTTTGAATCCAGCCTCTACCACTGAGGACTGCCGTGATCTCACAGCTGAGTAACCCTCATTCTCTACGTGGAGGTAACTGGGATCTCTTTCTGCTGTGGACTCTGTGGGGATCTGATAAGTGTAAATGCCCAGGAGCTAGGCCCTTGTGGCAGCTACCCCGAAGCTCTAGGGTGAGTATAGTTTCATTACAGGGCGGGTTTTCCTTGGCCTACATCCCGATGTACCTGCCACCATCTGTCTCCCTCTTGTCACTGGCCCTTTTTCTTGTTTCCTGCCCTCAGCAGACACTACTATCCCAGTCACAATGCTGAAGCCACCCATTAAGGTCATCAATTGCCGCTGCGTCACCAAGCCCAGTAGTCACATCTCTGTCCTCATCGCACGTGACCTCCAGCTGCTTCAGACAGCCACATCCTCCTGCCTCTTGTCCTCTGATCTCTCAGGACACCGCCCCGCCTGAGGTTCTTCCTTTCCCATCTCCTCAGCTGGCTTCCCCTTCTGCTCAGCTTCGTGGGGTATTTCTTTCTCTCCCCTGGTGTCTCAGCTCATCCTGTAGCTTTAAATAACAACCCCATGACCATTTCTCACCTAGCCTGGGCCAGTCCAGCCACCCACTGGTGAAATTTTTTTTACTAACCATTGGCTCTCCACTTGGTCATTTTTAGACTTACAACCTGTTTTTTTTTCCCTCCTGGACAATCCAGTCTTATGAAATGACACTGTCATTCTCAGTGATATTCGAGCCAGGTGTTAAGGCACAAGCCTGTATTTCCAGCCACTAAGGAGACTGAGGCAAGAGTATCACTTTTTTTTCTCTCTCTTTTTTTTTAATCGAACCCACAAGCAAGTCCTGAATCTTCAAGCTGAATCTCCAGGTTTCCCCTTCTCTACTACTAATGACCTAGTCTGAGCCACCCTCATGTCTTGTCTCTAGACCTGCTCAGTGGAAGGATGTTCCAAGTGAGGAAACAGTATGTTCAAAGTCCAGAAGAGGCATACTTGGGCACAGGAGTGTCAGCCCCACAAGCAAGTGCCAGGAAGTGAGGTTGAGGTCATAACATGGAGAGACTGGAAGCTAAGCAGAAAAGCAATGGGACAGTGGGCTGTACATTTAGGAGGGCTTAGCTTGGCAACACAGGCTGAACAAAGTGGGGACTAAAGGAGATTGAGGATGAGGAAGGGGCAGAGCTGAGTTTGGGGTTCTAAGGTGGTGGATAGAGATGGGCAAAGACTAGAAACATCTGGGGAAATGGTCACACAGCAGGAAAAACCACCGAATACAGAGGAAAAAGAAAAGGATCATGGGGGCTTCTTTGAGAAGCCTGAGGAAAGGAGGAGAAAGCTGGGGCCATTGGTTTGGGAAGGGGCTAGCCTGGGTTCTGAGAGGGCCAGGGTCACAGACAGAACTTGGAGGATTCTCATAAACTGGCTTCTGAGGGTCCTAGGCTGGACACAGGGAGGAAGAAGTTTGGGGGCCCCTTTTCTGGGTGGGAAATCTGCTCTGAGGGGCCAAGGGAAAGCTCAGAGGCGGGGATGGGGTCTCACCTGCCTGTGCTCCCTCCTGTCCTGGCCGTGGATGAACTGTAAGACACAGGAAGGGGCTGGTGAGACTTGTCCTGCCCCTCTGCCACCTCCCCTCCTTTCATAAAGGGTTTCCTACCTACCTTCATAATGGGCTGCGATAGCTCTTCGAGCTCGCACTTTCCGGCCCTTAGGAGCTAAGAATGAAGCAAAGACAGATTAGCAGAGAGACTGCTCTGGAGACCCAGGAGCCAGCCCCTAGCCTCTCTCCCTGCTCAAGACTCTGGCAGCCTTAGTGTTATTCAGACTCGAAGCCATCATACATCCAGCCTCATCTTCCTTCATAAACAGTGGCACCCTAATTTATCATCCAAATTGGGGTACTTGTGAGAGCAAAAGCTGGCTTTAATGAATAATCACACTGGGGTAGGGGTGCAGCAGCTTAGTGGTGGGGTGCTTGCCCAGTACACACGAGGCTCTGGGTTGTATCTCTACTACCACACAGACACACAGAGAGGCACACACACACACACAGAGACAGGCACACACACACACAGACATATACACACACATGCAGACACACAGAAAGACATACATACATAGATACACACACACAGACAGAGACACACATAGACACATATGCACAGAGACACACATACACAGACATACATACACACAGATACACAGGCACAGACACATACATACACACAAACACATACATACACCCCATGCTGAGGTATTGGGCCAGGACAATTTGATCCATCCAAACATGGATATATGGGAATGTACCATTGGGTCATAGAAGTCTTTGCTTATGGCTCCCAGGCCTCAGACTCCTCTGCCTTGTCCTTAGGAGGGCTTCCGGAGTCTTTTAGACTGCTGGCCACTGTGGTAATGTCCATAGAAAGCAGGTGTATATGACAAAGAGGTTGGGAAGGCAGAACTAAAATGCCTAGACTCCATTCTCAACCATTTAGCTGCAGGACTCTGTGTCTCCTTTATGCTCCCTGCCTCAGTTTCTCTATGAAAATAAAAGTTTTAGCCGGGCAGTGGTGGCACACACTTTTAGTTCCAGCACTGGGGAGGCAGAGGCAGGTGGATCTCAGTGAGTTCAAGGCCAGCCTGGTGTACAAAGCAAGTTCCAGGACAGCCAGGACTCTTACACAGAGAAACCCTGTCTCAAAAAAAAAAAAA